ATGTTTTCAATTTTCTTTCTCCATAGTGTCATGTATCAATTTTCAAACTCAGTTTTTAAATCTGACAAACATTAATTTTCTGATTATGTTAAATAAGAAAAAAAACAGATCGTATAACGGGCTCCTGCTTGGCCTTTCTGTATTGATAGCATTTATCTTTCGCGTTAGATCCTCATTAGCTTGTAAGAGACCTTCATGTTGTTCCCGGAATTTCTCATAGACGAGCAAAATCACACAAGGTAATACTGTATCTATGGGAACTATATTTACAGACAGCACAAGTTCCTGTGTGGACCATTTCATCCACAAGTGTGTTTAGTGCACGAGTGGCTGTGTGTGTCCGCCTACTTATCTGTGTGAACAGATAACAACATGCAGTACTGCTTTTATTACATACAACGAACCCACAATTTTTCTTAACATTATAATATTCTTTTCTGTATAACTTCACTTAAGATTATCCTGTTTCAATCTTCAATTTATTTCCTGAAAATATTGGACAAAACAACAATGGTGGAAAAAATAATAACAAGATCAGAATAGTTAACGTCACTTCACCATAGTGTAAAGTGACACTAAAATGTTGAGAACCTATTCTTGTTCAATCTGTCGTTTTGATTGTACCTAACGAAACCTATGCAGTCGAATTTGCTGTCCCCTAATTCCCCTATATACCTTTTTTTTTTTTTTTTTTTATTAAAATCAAACAAAATGATGACGATGATGATGATGATGACATGATGACATGATGATGATGATGATGATGACGATTGTCTACTGTGTGAAATACATTGAGGTACTGGTGATGATGATGATGATAATGAGGATGATGATGTTTATTGTGCGAGATATGTATTGATGCATTGGTAGCTATATGTTAATAATGATGACGATGATGAGGATGATGAGGATGCAGATTGTTTATGGGTGAGGTGTATTGTAGCAATAATGATGATGATGCATGTACTCATCCACATACAGTATTATTGTTTGTGAAAGAGAATGTGTGCGAGGATCTTAATGTAATGACAAAAGCTTTGAAAAATTAAAAATTAAAAAAGAAAATTAAAAAAAATCGAACAATATCTACCCCATAGTCGCAAAGATGCATCAGAAATAGATCGCAATGCCTTAATACATCTACATACTAAATTTGAGTGAAATCGAACAATTTCTAAATTGCGACCAATTAGAAGCCTCTGTATGGTTGCTATGGCAACAAAAGTATGCGATTAAATTTGCAGTCCTTTAATACCCCTATATATCGATTGTCATCAAAATCGAACTATTAGAATTACAATTGCGAGCAATAGCGGAAGTCACCCCTCCACCGCAGTTGTGTTCGTAGTGCCATACTACGCCTACATACCAAATTTCATCAAAATTGGACGAGATTTAAATTTCGACCAATCAGAAGCCAGCATTTGGCCGCCTTTTTGAATCCCACGTGAAACGATCGGTGTGATGTTATAATCCCTTTCACAAAGTTTCATTATGTTCCGTCAAATAGAACGAATGTTGTTACGGTCAATAGTAATTGATGTATCACATGGCTGGTAGTAATAATGTGATTTAAAGTTTTAAAGTTGTTGTTCCCATACATGTAGATAAAAGGGTTGAACTCTTCCGTTATAAAGTTTGCATAGAAACTCAAACCCTATATGTTTTAGTTGAGTCACTTGATGTTAAGTATGGTATTGGAATGGTAGATGCAATCTTAATACCAAAATGAGGGGTTAAATATCCTCGGGTGATTTCTCCAGCACTTGTTTAATCTTTCCTTGAAGCAGTTTAGGCTCGGTGCTGAGACCACTTCCTCAGGCAACGAGTTCCATGGTTTAATAATGCGATTTCTAAAGTGCCCCCTTGTAGATCTGTATTCGCAGTGTTGGAATAGTTTATCTATATCAAAATTGTCGATGTTATTAAGGATTCTGTACACTTTGACCATGTTTGCTCTCTCCCTCATGTATTCCAGGGTTGGTAGACCGAGTATTCTTAAAAGTTCAGCGTATGATTTGTTAGTTAATGTTGGTACTCTTTTCGTTGCTCTTCGCTGGACTTTTTCAATTGTAATTTTGTCCTTGGTATACAGGGGTGACCATATCGTTGAAGCGTATTCGAGGTGGGTCCGTATAAGTGCTTTGTAGAGTGTTACAAATATGGTTGGGCTCATATATGTAAAACTTCTGAATACTTTTCCTGCAATTTGGTTTGCTTTACTGGCTGCTTTTTGGACGTGCATGGAAAAATTGAGTTTTTCGTCGATGTAAACTCTCAGATCTTTTTCACTATTTACCTTAGTGATTTCGATGGTGTCTCCGTATTGCGTCAGCGTGTAGTTGGATGACTTGGGGTTTTGTCCAATTTCTATATGCTTGCATTTGTCCACATTCAGCTTCATCATCCAATTTTCTGTCCATTGGCACATTCTGTCGATACACTGTTGCAGTTTAGCTCGATTTTCTGGGGTTGTATTATTAGCTGATATTTTGGCGTCGTCTGCGAATAGTTTTGTAGTACACTCTAATACATCTGGCATACAATGTTATTACAACAGAATTGGCCCGAGTACACTCCCTTGTAGGACCCCGCTTAGTACTGGCAGACTCTTTGAGGGAGTTCCATTGATTATGACCTGTTGGGATAGGCCTGTAAGGAATGCTCTAATCCAGTTTAAGATTTGTCCTTTGATCCCACATTTTTCCAGTTTGTAGTTTGGAGCCTATGACACACTTTGTCAAAGGCTTTGCTAAAATCCAGGTAGATTACGTCAACGTTTTCCCCCTCGTCAAGTGTCTTGTTCCATTCTTCCAGGATTTCTAATAGTTGAGTTGTGCATTATTTTCCTGGACGGAAGCCATGTCGGTGTTTGGTAAATATTTCGTTTCCTTCCAGGTAAGCTATTAATTCGTTTCGGATTATTTTTTTTGTAGATTTTTGCATGGAACCGAGGTAAGACTAATTGGGCGATAGTTCCTGGGTTGGTTTTGGTAACCTTTTTAAATATCGGTGTAACGTTCGCTTCCTTCCAATCTTTCGGCAATTCACCTTCATCTATTGACTTTTTGAATATGATTTTGAGTGGTTTGGCTATTGCATCACATGTTTCAACAATGAATTTTAGGTGAAGGTTGTCGGGTCCAGGAGCTTTGTTGGGTTAGTTGATCTTATGGCCGTAATAACATTTTCTTGCGTCAGTTCTATGGATTCCAGTAAATTTTCGTGGGTTCTCTCCCTTAGTTCTGGTGGCTCTCGGTTGTCATCATGAACAAATACAATGGAGAAGAATTCATTCAGTACATTTGCAGTGTCTCTACTATTTTCTGTCAGTTCTCCAAAGGAGTCTCTTCTCTGCAGAATGGTTGCCCGACACCAGATTGTCTTTTTTCTGACGCTGCATCTCCATGATGTTGTCCTGTTGGTCACGGTCTGTAAATAAAAGATGTTAGGTTTAAGATAATAGAATAACAGAAATTCTTATGTATGACTCGATAGTGTAATTAATATGTATTGTGTAAAAAGCCCAGATAAAATTTGTATTTGTGTGACACATTTTTATGTATACCTTGACGGTGTAGGAAAATCCATCGGAACTAACAAGCTTCCGGCGGCGCTTGTTGGATCCCTCCTCCACAATCTCAAAACGGACGGGCTGGTCTCTCAGGACAGAGTCGGTGGGTACAACGTCATCAAGTGATCTGCAAAATTAGAATTTATATCGTTATATAAGATGCGGAAGTAAAAGTTATTATCTCTTGAGTAATTAATAATTACATTATAAATATTTATATACAATTTAACAACAGATACTTATTGTTCGACAATTTGAGGGTTGTCCTGAGGCCGATCGGGGAGATCAAAAGTCCCATCTAGTGTGTCGTCGTCCATCCCACTGATGTTCCTTACATCAAAAGTAGCGTTCAGCCTGTTAAAAGATAAAATGTAACATAAAGCCAAGTTGTAACATTACAAGACAAGTAAAGCGTAACAGACCATTTTATGATATAATTATAATATTGTGCACGTATGTAGCATGTGTAACAGTATTCGTGACTACTCGGCAGTCTCCACGATCTCTTCGGCTACTGCGACCTCAAATGTCTTGTTGGCGTCATTGCGTACGGGGGACAAACCAAAACTACTGAAAAATAAATAGATTCGATGTTGTTGATTGGAAATAAAAGTTCATATATTGTTGTCTAGATTTATTATTTCATACATGTTCGGATGAGTATAATTATGACATTGCGCTCTATTTTATAAATACCTTGTGATATTCCAATTCATCGACCCAATGTATGTTGTGTCTGCTGGCCCCGATTCCATGAACGCTCCTTAAGGTAATGAGCTCCTTAACTTAAAACGCGTAATGCTTTTCCTATGGAGATATTTAAGTTAAGGAGCTCCTTAGGTAGCAGTGTACAGTAGCGTACGGTGGCCATGGGTGATAGTATTACATGTATCAAAACTTTTTAAAAAAGTCAGCTCTAAAATTGGCATATGCATGATGAATTGGACTATATGGGCTTCACATTTTAAAAAAAAATGGAATTTGGCTTGAGACTACATTTTTGGTCATTTACGAATCTGTGTCTACACAACAAAAGCTAGCTTTTCATGTACGTTTTTTTTTGTACTCAGCACATGTGTAAATATTGTTAAAAATCCAGTTTGAGGACCTATGCTAAAACGTGAGTTCCTGCGACCGAGTAAGTGATATTTAATTTAAGACAGGTTTTAAGAAAAAAAAAACTACTTGCGTGGGTCAAATTTGGGTTAAAAATCATGATTTTTAACACTTTTTGGCGTTTTTTGATGTGGTAACCATGGGTTTCACAAGTCCCAAATCTGGGGAAATCACCTTTTGAAAAAAAATCATTCTTCTGAAAAAACCGTATTCAAAATGTAGTTTTTAAATATATATATATATTTGTAGGTGTGATGTGCAGGATGAATCCGCTATCCATGTTTATCCGAGACATGCCCTTTATTTTTAGGGTCAAGCCATTTCTTCTGTACTCTGCTTCCTTAACTTAAGGAACGTTATGAAACTGGGGCTGGAAGTGCCGATAACTCCAGGGTGGGAGGCTGGTCCAGACTCCTTCGTGGTGGTGGCGACATCGGAAGGTTGGACACTTCCAACAATAGAGGCTATGAAATGGAAGAAATGAAATACTATTATATAGTTTAACTCCATTCATCTCTTAAATTATATCTTATGTATCTTATACCCAAAAACACTCGATATGATACCGAAAAATCGCTATTTATTTCTTACCTCATTCTGTTGGACGATAAAAGTGGAGTCAAGGTTCGAGGCAGGGTTTGTCGATGTCGGAGTGACTGAGGGTGGGTCCGCAATACTCGTCTGTTTGGGGAAAAAATATTAGTTTAATCGTGACGTTAACGGGTGAGCACCGTAATTTGTATATCGACCATTTTTTTAATTTTACTTTTGATGTGTTATATTCCTTACCTCATCCATATATGGCATAGTGGGGTCAATCATCCTGGTTGCCTATTAGACGGGCGGCTGCCGGGGAAAAACAAGAAAAGCTACATAAAATATGTTAAATAAATTTGATTTCCACAAATAATGTATTAATAGTTGTGTTCATTCGTGATCAGATAGAAATTAACAAACACTGTATAGGAACAGAATATAGGTGTGCGACTTGTTATTATTACCTCATCATCGATTGTCCTGGAAGCCTGGCTGGTAAGGTCAGGGAGAGTGCAGTCACGACAACACCAAGTTATCAGTCCACCGTCCTCGCCCCTCATAGTAGCACGATGAGGGGCCAGTGATATGCCTATGCAATGTTTAAAACAACAGAGCTAATTACAACAAGAGGGCCATGGGCCTTAACGGTCACCTGATATATTTATACAGAGAGTTGATTTTGTTTTTAACACGAACAGAAATATTATTCAGTGACAAAAAACAATAAAACCACCTTATTCAATATCTAGCATACAGATTTAAGACTAAAAAGTATTTGAAACTAGCACCTCTGATTCTAAACAAGGAAAATGAAGAAATTTTAGCACACTGACTCCTTTGGGCCCCACCCTACAGCCCTTGGGGGTAGGGCTGGCTCAAAATTTTCAAAGTATCAAACTGTCAACTCAGGGTTATAATTCCAATCAAGTTATTAACATGTAATATTCAAAGTATCATTTGCCATTATAAACCATAATAAATT